TAGCCAATGCAAGAGATAAATACATAGCTAGTTTTAAAAACCAGATGGAACCATATTAGTCCAACAACCTACTGACAAATTATATACACCAGATCTAGAAATATATGTCTAGGCAAGGTTTATCTGAGAACAACTGGTCTTTGTCCAAGATTTATTCACATGACACACAGTAATTAAAAGTACCAGACTGGTGGAACTAACCTTCTTCGATGTTTAACAGACATACTTTGAGGCCTATACTAATTTGGTCAGAGGGACATAAAGGACAGTTTTTTCTTCTACCCCACCTAGATCAACTAGTTCCAGGGGACTAAGAGCATCTCTCAAAATGTCCTATAATGGTGGTGGGTCACCTGTCCTCTTGATCAAGGAGGCCGAGGAGACCCAACCAGATGGACTTGAACCACTGTCAAGTCTACAAAGAGGGGGGTCAACACGGAGGAATCATTTCCTCCATGCTTCCAAGTGAAGCCAGCCATGGTTGAGCAGGACCTTTTACTTATCTTCACATAGGCAGAGCTGGTAAAAGAAAGCCAGGGGCTCCTCCAAAGCCCATGTGATCCTTGAGGCTCAGATCCTCAAATGACCTTAAGAGTAAAAATAAATTGGTTTATCTTGGCCAGCTGTATGTCCTTAAACACCCAAAAGGAAAGTATAACCAAAGATGAAAGGGGCCAATACAATTTTTTAAGAGTCCATATGTGTAGCTAAAGGCTACATAGCAAGCAACAATGGTACATAGGAGATACCTTCTTTTGAGTTACTGGCCAGGGTGGCCAAAGGGACTCCCAGATAGTAACCCAGCAGAGAACTGGGAAACTGAACAGCGGACCCCAATCTTATCTAAAGGAATATTGACAACTGATTGCTGCTAGATGAGGAACAGCTGACCTTCCTAAAACAAAGCCCTCTAGATAGGCTGACTAGATTCACCAGATGGACAAGTGGTGGGGAATGGCTGGGGTGCTGACAACACAGCAGACAGTAGCAGGGATATCAGAGTATAAGGGCTCTAGTAGGGGGAGGGAGGCTATGGGAGGGTGCCATCTAGGAAGTGGGTGTATAGTCGAAGATGGTTTGGGATATTCTGTGTGATATACACACACACAAAAATTTTTTTAATGTATTATATTTGAGAAGGAAGCATGGAAATTTACATCATGTTAATTAGTAGAGGTGATAAACATTACCATTGAAATCTACCCGATGACTTTATAGACATACACAGGCACCAAGGATCCAAGTGTAACCGATTATGACTAGTAATAATCAGATAGATACAGATTAGAGATGCATGCGCCAACATCTCAGTGTTAGTATCAAAAACAATGAGTCTGCAAGGAACTATATATATATATACACACGTATATATATACACGTATATACATACATATATATATATATATATACACACAACACACACACACACACACATGCTGGGCGTGGTGGCGCATGCCTTTAATCCCAGCACTTGGGAGGCAGGGGCAGGCGGATCTCTGTGAATTTGAGGCCAGCCTGGTCTACAGAGCGAGTTCCAAAGGTTAAAAACTCAATTTTATGTCTTACAGGGCTTATACTGAGTTCAATATTGTATAACTGTATTAATTCAACTGTGAACCTCGAAACTTACAGCCACTTGTGAAAGAGATGTGCTCTTGATCTGGAGTGTATTACTTAATATGTTAAAGCTGTAATGAAATGCTTCTTTAATCATGTAGTTATTAAAACTTTTTTAAAAATCACTTTCTCTCTGACAGAAACTGTGATGTCACTTTGGGCCTATAATCCTCATGGCCAACATTTTTTTTTTAAAGCAAGAGGGGGATTGTTTGTTTATTTATGTGAAAGGTGCTATTTATTAAATGATTTTTTTTTGTCTTTTTGAGACAGGGTCTCCTTGTAGCCCCAACTGTCCTGGAACTTTCTATGTAGACCAGGCTGGCCTCAAACTCACAAAGATCTACCTGCCTCTGCCTTCTGAGTGCTGGGATTAAAGGTATGCACCACCACACCCAGCTTAAATGTTTTTTTTAATTATTTTTTCATGTGTATGCGTGTTTTGCATGCACGTAAGTGCACTTGTGTCATACAAAGCCTAAAAAGACCAGAAGAGGGTGTCAGATCCCCTGGAACCAGAGTTACACGTGGTTGTTAGCCACCATGTGAGTGCTGGGAATTGAACCCAGGTGTTCTGGAAGGGCAGCCAGTGCTCTCAACCACTGAGCCATCTCTCCAGTCCCCTTATTAAATGATTTTTATAAAGATTGCTCAGTCTCTTGGTTGTGCTCTTTTGTTATAAAGAAAAAAGAGGTCCTACTGTCTTAAAATAAATTACCACTGATCAGCAAAATTTTAAGGATTCTTCCAGTTGAAATATAAGTAGATTACTTATGGGTTGGGCATGGTGGTGCACGCCTTTGGTCCCAGCACTCAGGAGGGAGAGGCAGGTGGATCTCTGTGAGTTTGAAGCCAGCCTGGTCTACCTAGCGAGTTCCAGGTCAGCTGGGACACCCTGTTTCAAAAAGACAAAAATAAAAATAAGAATAAATAAGTAGATTATAATAACATTAGATATTTCCATAGTTAATCTGAGAAAACTAAATGAATTTCAACATGAACTGTGCATCTAATTTTTGTAAAGTATGAAAATGCTTCAAAACAGTATTATGTTAGATAGCTAAAAGTAGTTTTTTAATCATTAATAATACTGTATTTCAGAAACCAACAGGTCACAATAAAAAGTATGAAGATGAAAAGTGGAAAATAAGATTTGAGGTAAGTTACAATCCAAATGTTTTAGGAACTTTCATCAATAGAAAGAATCTGAAACAGGGCAGGTGATATGGCTCAACTGGTAAGGACAGTTGCTGCCAAGCCTGACACCCGAGTTTGATACCCAGGACCCACATGGTGGAAGAGAACTATCTTGGAGTTGTCCTCTGACCGTTGCATATTTGCAGGGCATGCACATACTACACATGTACACATGGGCACACACACAATAAATGTAATTTTTAATTTTTTTTTTTTTTAGAAAAAGCATTTTATTACAATAGCATTGACATATTCAGTAACAATTTTCTGAGCTAAGATGCATCTCTTTCAAAATTGGCTGTAAATTTTTAGGTTTACAGTTGAATTAATACAGTTATACAATATTGTACTCTGTATAAACCCTATAAGACATAAAATTAAATGAGGTTTTAATCTTTAAAAAAGATCTCTATTCATTATTAAAATATACAATTTCATATGGAAAAATTCATTTTTAATGAAATTGACATTAAGATGTTTCCACATGTGTTCTAATCTCTATATATCTGATTATTACTAGTCACAGT